TATTTTTTTAAACGTTATATTAAACAAAAATAGAGAGATAAAGTAAATACAATAAAACAAAGAGTTTCTCAAACATTGTCATCTTCCTGCAAATTGAAAATTACAATTTATATAGAGGATCCCATTAGTTCGTAATTGTTCAATATTTCAATTTGTGGTATTGACAAGCAAACAAGTTTTGATAAAAGTTATATGGATTTGAAAAATACATATTTTAAAATATTTTTAACTGACAAATAAAAATTTATGTTTTTTAAATAGAACACCCTATATTTTATTTTATTTTCAGAATAGCTTGGGAATACTGTATTTAATCGTAGAATGTTTTTAAAAAATATGACAGTGTTGCCAAACAGTTTATTTAAATTAAAGAATGATGTAGACCCCAAATTAAATTATCATAATTTAGGTAGATTTACATTAATTTCAAAATAGTTTAATGTACAGACTTATAAAATACTAAGCTAACGAATAGAGGTGATACAACTGGTTTATTCTATACAGAGTGTTTTGAAACATGTCTTAAATATGGCTAATTTTAAGTTCAATTTACTCAATTTTTTCAAACGCGACACACTGTATATTATCTTGGCATAAAATTCCCTATAAATTGCCCATGTAACAATACCAATGTGTTAGTCAATAATACATATACAGGGTGTCCCATCAGTGCATAATTGATCGATAGCTGTTTTATTATTATAAATACGAAGAAATGTTTATTATAAAAGTTGTATGACCATATTTAACCAATATTCTTAAATATACAGGGTGGTCCATAAACGAGGTGCTGACCAAATCTATACTTTTTTAAAGCAAAACACCCTGCAGGTAGTAATACATATTTGATTGTTTTTACATCGTAAAATATTTTTAATTGACTTCACTCATTTGCTATGTTGTATATAGGGTGTGTCAAAACGTGAGGTTACGATTTTCTCAATTTTTTTAAATGGAATACCCTGTATTAATTAATTGGTGGTATGACATAAAGGGTATTTCATTTTAAAAAATGAGAAAATCGCTACCCCTCATTTTGAAACACTTTTTTTACAACATAGCAAATAAATGAAGTCTATTAAAGTTGTTTGACGATGTGGAAACAAATATAAAAATGTATAGGTTTGGTCAGCCCCTCGTTTATGTACATTTAAGAATATTTATTAAACATGGTCATACAACTTTTATATTAATTTGTTTTTCCTATTTCCAATAATAAAACAGCTATCGATCAATTATGCACTATTGGAATATGTTGGTAACGTGGGATAGGTAAATTTATAAGGAATGTTATGCGAAAATAATATATACAATATATGACAAAATTAAGTAAATTGAACATAAAATTAGCCATATTTAAGACATGTTTCAAAACACTCTGTATAAAATAAATCAGTTCTATCAGCTCGGAAATGGAAAAGCCAACAAAAATCAACGAGAAGTCCTTTTTGTGACAAATTGCGTGAGAAATATTTATTAATCTTAAGTTTTATGAAATGTAGGATGTTCAAAAAGTTTTAAATAAAATTGTTTCTTTAGCCCTTCATTCCATGTCAATAGGTTATGGTAATTTATCGAAATAGTGTGTTATTAGTTAATAATAACGATATACATATATTTAGGTTAAAGTCTTTACTGTAAAGGAAGATACTTATTTAGAAAATATGTATTTATAAAATTCACTTTATCACCCTGTAGAATGAAAACTGGGACGTTTATTGGTAAATTATATTAAGCTTTTCTTTATAATTGATTAAGATCTACAAATCCCCAAAATTACGGTACTTTATTCTGAAACATCCTGTATAAATATATATAAAAATTAAAAACTTCATTATGAAACTCACTCTTTTTTTCTGGAAATATACATATGAACCCTAGACGTTGCATTGGTACCATATTCTAAGATAACATGCTGCGCTTTTACCAATAATGTGAAACCTAACCTAACCCCCCCCCCCCAAGAAAACAGCCTAGCTACGCGCCTGGTCTCATTGACACCCGGTATACATCAACAATTATTTTATGAATGCTATAAAAATAGATATTAAATCAAACACCCTCACCCCACTACGGCAAACCATGTCAGACCATTGACCACATTTAATTTTTAATAAATGTATTTTTGCAAAATAAATTATTTTCTTTCAATTTAAGTAAAATGGCATAAATCTGCAATACCTTCACACACTTTTGACATTTGTTGATTGGTTTTCCCATCTTCATATAATAAAAAAATCTTTAATTTTGATTTTGGAATAAAGTTTCCTTAACATAGAAGAACGGTGGTTCGCTTTATTTTGATGATTTTAGCTATTGATAAAAAAAGAGGCAGAATGCAAGTTTCTCTGTAAGATACCAACTAGATCTTTTGATAATAAATCATCTAAATAGTTATTTATATATTTTTAAACAACTTCAAAAAAAAAACCGTATAAAGTTGATTAAGATCTAATAATGGGATAAATAAAAAAAATATCAAATTCCTTATTTTTAAAGTCTGTTTTTTTAAATTACTTTAACAACCTATTTATTGCTACAAATCGTCATAATTTTTAAATTATTTATAGATTTCTAATAAAATATATTCGTCAATTTGTATGTTGTAATAATTTTATTATTGAGCAATTTTATTGTATTTCAGTATATATATAGGGATTTATGTAGGTTATCTCTTGGGTATTTAATTAGTTCACTTACCTCTGTTAAATATCCTTTAATAGAACTATCAGTGCTTCGTTTTTCTATGACTCTACTAGTGGAAATTTGTGACAGAAAAACCAGTAAACACAACTATAAATAAAATTTGATTAAACCAACTCAATTATTTTTTTCAGTCAGGAGATTCTCACCTGTAGCAATATTTTGAACATCTTCCAGGAAACACTGTAAAAACAAGTGTCTATATGGCCGAAAACGTTAAATTAAAGAAGAAAATCCAAAAGTTTAAATAACTTGTAAAACAAACCGATTGCTTTGACTAGAAAGTCTAATATTGGGCATTTTAACAAAAAAAAATCCAATAATTTTTACTGTTAATTACCTATGCATCCATAATCATAAAAATATTTCAGAAAAATATCTGCTTTATTTATTATTTACTCCAACCCAATTATATTGTCTTATTAAACAAATTAAATGAATGTTGCGATTTAAAAAAGTATGTCAAAAATTACAATACAACCAATAATAAAATTTTGAATAAATAATAAAATTATAATTTTTATCTTATTTGAACCAAAATGTAATTGTAAATTGTTAATCAAAATCAAAACACCAGAAATCGTTTGAATGGAATCCTTAATATATTATGTATTATTAGCGAATTAATAAATGTAATAAGTTCTTTTAATCAACCGGCAGTGGAAATAAAGGCACTGTAGCATTATTGATCCTATTTAAACGCCATCTTGCGTATTCTCAATGAACTTTGATTTTAAGAACTGCATTCTCTAAGCAATGATAGTGAAAAACTATGTACAGGGTGACTTTTTATTTTAGAATATCTGTATTTTTAAATAAACAAAGTACACTTTTATACCACAATACGTTCTCCAATTTTATATTTATGGAAAACGCTTCATATTAAAATTTAGAACGAAATACAAGTTTTTCTTTGCTGCTTTTCATATTAATATACAGGGAGTTTTTAAAGAAAATAATTTTTTTCAAACTCTTTTGTTGCTGTTTTTAAAAGTCTTTAGGAAGGTAAATTTTTAGTACCAACATTTACTTTTACATTTAAATTTTTACCATTTCCTAGAGGAATTTAGGACCAGTGTATCTGGAAATAGCTGTTTGTGTATTAAGAGCGAAATATGATACATTGCTGCATGCGCAATATTAGTGAAAATCACTGGACAAGATCATTTTTTAGTTTAGAATGTCTGTATCTTTAAATACAAAAAGTACATTTTGGTACCACTAGACTTACTTTCTTTTTATTTTTTGTAGAAAACGCTTTATATTGACAGAAAAAAAGGTAAACTTCTGTGATCATGCAGCTTATATCAGAAAAAATGTACACGGAATGCTAGTTTATCTTTGCTGCTCTCCATAATAACAAATTTTTTAATCATTCTTCTGGCCTAAAAAATTAAAAAATCCATTATGTCTTCACCCACTCGTAAGCTAAAATGTATAGGCGCACCATCGTGCATTATCCACATCTGGTTTATTTATAAAAGCGGAAGGTCTTTAACATTGGAGGAAGATCTTCTTCAAGAAAGTGTAAATATGATTGTCTATCAAATCTTCAAAGGAGAAAAATGGGCCTATTAAATAATTATCAAATATTTACCGGAAATTGTTCTTGATGATTTGATTCAACAATTTCATATCTGTACCATAGAGGTAAAGAATTGTATCTCCAGTTTTTTTAAAAGTGGAGTGTATTCACTAAAATACATAATGCTTAAATTTTTTAGTGTAATAAAATCGTATTTCTATATACTAGTTTTTGATGTAGTACACTAAGAAAAAATAGTATTTAAATTTTTAAGGAGGTGAAAAGTCGTATGTCGAATTTTAGATCTCATTTTTTCCAGATCAACGGTACAGATATGGATTTTCATCTGCCCATAAATGGTTATTTTGGAAATTTATTATTGAGTTTTAAGAAAAATTAGCTACATCGGTAAAAAGAATATGTCTGTCAAATAACGGATAAACAAATACATGTGAAACATTAAATGTTGCCGCGATTTTCCGTGTACTAGTTTCGAGGTTCTTCTCAATATCATGTAAAATTCATGCTTCAAGTTCTATGAATTCTAGAAAATGTTCTCGGATCGGGTAGTACGCGATTTGGATACCGCTCTTAGTATGCAAGTCCATAAGTCAATATTAATATTGATTTTAACTTTTCTTTTTAGAATCACCCAAGAATTCCCACCCTTAAGTATCGGCACTCAATTAATAAAGACCATATATATTCGCTTATATCACCTAATTAAAGTGAAACAAATTTATGATATTAAATCTTTATTAACACTAAAAATTGAAGTTATAAAAATTTTGCACGAAAACTTGACACAGTATTGGCTAGGCCAACTTATCTAAGTATATAGCTGCGTGGCTTTTGTTTATTACGAACTATAGGAGAGAGAAAAATAAATCAATATATATTTTAAGAGCATAAAATTAGCAAAAAATATGAAGCAAACCCGATTCTGACATATATCATAGAAAGAGAAATACAGCATTGGCCATTCTAGCTTAAGTATCAAACTAGCATGGCGAAGGTTTCTCGGTAACGGCAAGAGCAAAAAAATTAGCCAAAAAATATAGCAAATGTCGCTCTACGGGCTTATGACTTTGTCATGTTTTATAGACATCTAATACAGCGTATTTCGTTTCAAAAATTATTTCAGGTACTATTTTTCACAGGAAATAATTTTTTTAAGAAACTAAAAATAAAGGAATGATCAACAAAAACATATTTTTTAAGTAAGTCTTGAAAAAATTAACGCCTGTCGTAGCTTACAATTCTACTTTTTAAGTGTAAGATTTAATTTATTTCAGAGCCGTACGTAGTTATCACAGACATGATTTTGTTTTTGTCGGCCATGACCTACTTAGAAACATTTTTTGTGCATCACTCTTTATAATAAAACCTCTATATTATCCTGACTTTTAGTTTAATGATGTAAATAAATTTGTCAAAAAATTATCGTTTTTTTTGTTAATGCTTATCAAAATATTATCCCCAATCCTTGCTGGTTTGTTGCTGTCCTATATATAGGATTGTTTTGGTGTTTTATTACATCAATGTTGCCTCTCTCATCAGTTGGAGCTTCTAAGTTTGCATTTCCGAATAATCTAGGATGGGTCAGTTGATTGGTACTGGCTATATGTGAATCTTGAATACTTCCTACAAAAGTACATTTATTTTATTAGATTATATCGAGAGGTAAACCGCTGGTATTACTATAGTGAACCAGCAATCTATACTATGTGTACTATTTCTGTACAATTTGTATATTTCGATTTCTATTTGTGCACTATTTGTGTACTATTTGTGTACTATTTGTGTACTATTTGTGTACTATTTGTATCCTATTTGTGTACTATTTGTGTACCCTTTGTGTACTATTTGTGTTACTATTTGTGTATTATTTGTGTACTATTTGTGTACTATTTGTGTACTATTTGTGTTCTATTTGTGTAATAGTTGTGTACTATTTGTGTACTATTTGTGTACTGTTTATGTACTATTTGTGTACTATTTGTGTACTATTTGTGTACTATTTGTGTACTATTTGTGTACTATTTGTGTACTATTTGTGTACTATTTGTGTACTATTTGTGTACTATTTGTGTACTATTTGTGTACTATTTGTGTACTATTTGTGTATTATTTGTGTACTATTTGTGTACTATTTGTGTACTATTTGTGTACTATTTGTGTCCTATTTGTGTACTATTTGTGTACTATTTGTGTACTATTTGTGTACTATTTGTGTACTATTTGTGTACTATTTGTGTACTATTTGTGTACTATTTGTGTACTATTTGTGTACTATTTGTGTACTATTTGTGTACTATTTGTGTACTATTTGTGTACTATTTGTGTACTATTTGGGTACTATTTGTGTACTATTTGTGTACTATTTGTGTACTATTTGTGTACTATTTGTGTACTATTTGTGTACTATTTGTGTACTATTTGTGTACTATTTGTGTACTATTTGTGTACTATTTGTGTACTATTTGTGTACTATTTGTGTACTATTTGTGTACTATTTGTGTACTATTTGTGTACTATTTGTGTACTATTTGTGTACTATTTGTGTACTATTTGTGTACTATTTGTGTACTATTTGTGTACTATTTGTGTACTATTTGTGTACTATTTGTGTATTATTTGTGTACTATTTGTGTACTATTTGTGTACTATTTGTGTACTATTTGTGTACTATTTGTGTACTATTTGTGTATTATTTGTGTACTATTTGTGTACTATTTGTGTATTATTTGTGTACTATTTGTGTACTATTTGTGTACTATTTGTGTACTATTTGTGTACTATTTGTGTACTATTTGTGTACTATTTGTGTACTATTTGTGTACTATTTGTGTACTATTTGTGTACTATTTGTGTACTATTTGTGTACTATTTGTGTACTATTTGTGTACTATTTGTGTACTATTTGTGTACTATTTGTGTACTATTTGTGTACTATTTGTGTAATATTTGTGTACTATTTGTGTACTATTTGTGTACTATTTGTGTACTATTTGTGTACTATTTGTGTACTATTTGTTTACTATTTGTGTACTATTTGTGTACTATTTGTGTACTATTTGTGTACTATTTGTGTACTATTTGTGTACTATTTGTGTACTATTTGTGTACTATTTGTGTACTATTTGTGTACTATTTGTGTACTATTTGTGTACTATTTGTGTACTATTTGTGTACTATTTGTGTACTATTTGTGTACTATTTGTGTACTATTTGTGTACTATTTGTGTACTATTTGTGTACTATTTGTTTACTATTTGTGTACTATTTGTGTACTATTTGTGTACTATTTGTGTACTATTTGTGTACTATTTGTGTACTATTTGTGTACTATTTGTGTACTATTTGTGTACTATTTGTGTACTATTTGGGTACTATTTGGGTACTATTTGGGTACTATTTGTGTACTATTTGGGTACTATTTGGGTACTATTTGTGTACTATTTGGGTACTATTTGTGTACTATTTGTGTACTATTTGGGTACTATTTGGGTACTATTTGTGTACTATTTGTGTACTATTTGTGTACTATTTGTGTACTATTTGTGTACTATTTGTGTACTATTTGTGTACTATTTGTGTACTATTTGTGTACTATTTGTGTACTATTTGTGTACTATTTGTGTACTATTTGTGTACTATTTGTGTACTATTTGTGTACTATTTGTGTACTATTTGTGTACTATTTGTGTAGGGGAGAATGGGGGCCCCTTTGAACGGGGGCACTTTTGAACAATTCATTTAAATAAAGATTGTACTGAATTTTTATAAAAGTGCAGTTTGGCAACAAAGCCTAGAAGCACTACGACAAACCGTGTTCGTTGCGCTGACCAGTTGCCGATCCTTTGCGTTTTAGATTAAATATATGATTTACCTTAATAAATTATGACATCACACGTGGTTAAAATTTTAAATTAAAACTAAAATACTGACAATTTAAAAGTAAGGTATTGCTGAATTTAGACAGCTAAGTTTTCATAGATTTATTTTATAATAATTCTTTGTTTTTTGTATGTATGGGACACAATTGAACAAAATACTTGAGGAACATTTGAACAGTGTGCAAAAGTGCTCCATATTATGTATTAATACTTAGTTAAGGTTTAACGAAAACAATAAATGCGGGGATTTAGCTAACACCATATTTCTTGTTTACAGATCTTTGCATATACTTAACAAAATGGTCAGAAATTATCTAAAAAAGCGAACAAAACCGGAATTCAATGAAGAAGATATGCAGAAAGCAATGGAATGTGTGAGGAAGAAAAGCTGCTGAATCCTTCGAAGTAGATCACACTGCACTATTTTATCGACTAAAAAAAACTAGAGACACCGAATCGCGAGCATTTTTCATCGACGCATACCTTCAGACAGATGTTTACGAATCAACAAGAACAGCAACTGGTCTTATATAGTCTTAAATGCTCTCGAATGAATTATGGACTAACGTACAAACTATTGCAGACATTGGCTTACGATTATGCGTTAAAATTTCCTGAAAAATGGAAAGAGAATGGATTAGCAGGAACGGACTGGGTAAAGGGCTTTATGAAAAGACACGAGCAACTGTCATTGCGTAAGCCAGAAAACACGAGTATATCTAGGAGTACGAGTTTTAACAAAACAAATGTCACGGAATTTTACGAAAATTATAGCAGAGCTCTTCAAAAACATCCATTTTCTCCTCAGAGAATATTCAACCTGGACGAGACTGGTGTAATGACTATTGTACAAGCGCCCAATGTAATTGCAGAAAAAGGAGTTAAATAGGTAGGACAAGCGGTTTCAGGGGAGCGAGGACCACTTGTTACAATGGTTGGAATTGTCAGTGCATAGGGAAATAAAGTACCGCCTGTTTACATTTTTCCCAGGGCAAGGATTCACGATATTTATAATTAAGGCGCCACCAGGAAGTCTCGGATTAGTTAATATCTCAACTAGTGGATAAATGACCGCTCCTTTGTTCCTAAAAACTCTAGAGCACTTAGTAACCTGCACAAAATGCAGGAAGGAAGATCTAATATTGCTACTTCTCGATGATCACGAGAGTAACTGCTCTTTGGATGCTATAGTGTATGCGAAACATCATGGAATTGTGATGGTAACTTTTCCACCTCATTGTGCACGTCGGCTACAACCATTAGAATTCCCGCGCGAGTGGAAAACAGCAAAACTCGTTCTAATAGTAAAGAACAAATCCGGACAAGATGAGAAAACTTATCGAGCAATATGCCTGCTCAACGTTATAGAAAAATTATTTGAACAACTAATCCTAGACAGGTTAAAAAGAGAAATAGAAAGAGAAGGATCTCTGGCTATTTACCAGTATGGTTTTAGAGAAGGAAAGTCAACAATCGACGCACTAGAGGTGGTTCGAGAAACAGCAGAAGAAGCCAATCAAAAAACAGCAAGAGAAAGATGTAAGATTATCTCTTTGGACATACAGAACGCATGTAACTCGGCACCGTGGGAAGGCATATTAAATGAAATACAAAGAAGAGAAATGGTTCCATATTTGTATAACATTAAGGCGAGCTATTTTAAAAACCAAACCCTACTAGTGGGGTAAAATGGAAAAATAGAGCTGTCAAGTGGAGTTCCCCAAGGTTCTGACCTGGGCCCGACCCTGTGGAACCTTTAATGTGATGGAGTGTTGAGACTACCGGTTCCCCGAGGAGTTAAGCTTATTGCATACGCCTATAATCTCGGGATATTAGTAACAGACAAAAATGCCACTCAGATGGAAGCAAAGGCCAACGAAGTACTGACGAATGTGACTGAATGGATGGAAAACAAAAAATTAAAGCTAGCATCACATAAAACGGAGGCAGTGCTACTTGCGGGGGGGGGAAACAAAGAGTGCTACGGTAACGGTACAGGGAGTTACGATAAATACTAAGGAATCCATCAAATATCTTGGAGTACATTTAATCAGGAATATGACAATGAGTACACTTATATAAGAGACCGCTAAAAAATCATGTAAGGCGATAGAAACCCTCCAACGGCCAATACCTAAAGTAGGGGGACCAAGATAAAACAGCAGAAAGATCCCATTTTACGTTGTACAATCCATCATACTATACGGAGCCACAATATGGAAAAAAGCCATGAGGAAACAGTTATACAGGGGCATGTCCCTAAAAGTCCAACGTAGAGTAGCAATCAGCATAACAAGTGCATACAGGACAACATCTACAAAAGCCCTGCTGGTATTAGCCAGAACACCTCCATCGGATATACTAGCTGAGGAACGGGAGCTTATACGAAATGGCACGAATAGAATAGTGACAAAACAAATTATACTGGAAAAATGGCAAGAGAGATAAGAAAAAGAGAAAGGGACTACAGAATGGACCAAAAGACTAATACCAGACCTAAAGCCCTGAAACGACAGAAATCAAAGTGAAGTTGATTTTTATATAACTTAACTTCTGACGGGACATGGAACCTTCCAATTCTACCTGTTTAGATTCAAACTTGCTGATACGGACGAATGCTTATACTATAGATCAGTTGATACAGTAGAACATGCATTTTTCAAATGTGTAAGATGGGAGGATGATCGACAAGCCACTGAAAACAAATTGAGAAGAATAACACCGGACAACATAATTAATAAGATCCTACAGAGCAACGAGAACTGGAATATCATTAAGAACTATTCAGCAAAAATCCTGTCAACAAAAAGAAAAGACATGAATACAACAGAATTAAATAAAATGGGAAGAATATGCAGAACATCTAGCTCCGTCGACCTATTTGAAGAAATGCCCGACGGCAGTTCCAAATAGGTTCATTCTTAGGTAATGGGGTAGTTTTAGTGGGTATATCGGCCTTGCACCCTTCAGCCGAGAGTCGCACACTACCAGATACGGACAGAATCACATGCCTGGTGTCCTGTATTCCCACTCTACGAACCAGGCAAGACAATAACCATTGACAATATTGCCGACGAATAATTTGATTGTGCTACGATTAGTGATAGGCCTGATATAAATTCTTCGATTAACACGGATGTGCCACAGCCCCAGCCACAACAGTTAGCACCTGGGAGTGCTTTATTACCGTCATCTAGCAGAGATAGCATCGATAATCCAAAAGACCTTCCATCAAACAGCTTGCTTACTCCGCCTGTTGAAACTGTGCGACCCTATCCAAAAGCACCTCCAAGAAGTGAAAATCCACGCGGTAGAAAGATTGGCCGATCTAGAATTCTTACATAAACCCCAGAAAAAGAAGCCTTGAAAGAGGCATTAAGAGCTAAAGATCAGAAAAAAGCGAAAATTACAAAGAGAGTCTTCAATACAAAAGAAAAATCCAGTTCAGATTAATCTTTTTCCATCCATGATGATTCTGATGTTCTGGATTTGGAAGAAGAACGGTCGGAAGATGAACTTGATTATAAAGTTGTATTTGAAAATTTGTTAGTAGGTGATTTTATAGTTGTAAAATTTTGTAACACAAAAAAACTGAAGTGTACTATGTTGCTCGAATTTTCAAAGACCAGTTGTGACTTAGAAGTCAAGTACATAGGTAAAAAAGGTTTAGAATTTTATTTAACTGAAACAGACGATATTTCTACAGTAGAAATCGGAGATCTGGTCGGCAAATTGCCATCTCCTTCACAGTTAAAGGGCACAGAAAGAACATAATCCTTAATTTCGTTTAAATTGTCCTTGTTTTCGTTTAATTTTCGTTTAATATTTAATGGTGCTCCTCAGTAGGGCACCATTCAATAATCTGCCTAAAAATATTGATAATTCCATGTAATCGATAAAAAATTGATTTTATAAAAATTTCCTATTATTAATTGATATACAAAATATAACAGTATTATCTTGTCACTAAATCGCCCTTTTACTATCTATTATTTTGAGATAAAAAATTTCCAACTAAAAAAGTGTTGAAAGGTGCCCCTCTCTCCCCTACTATTTATGTATTATTGGTAAAAATTGATACAATTTGTGTACTAGGTGTAGTATTTGCGTACCATTTTTTTGTACTATGAGTATTTGAGGCACAATATTTACTAGTATACAACATTTTCCCAGCGGTTTATCTCTCAGATTATACTTATTTGATATTTGATAAATAAATAACTATAATTCTAAAAAATAAAGAAACATGTTTTGTCATTTTCTTTTTTTTTTTTTATTTATGGAGGAAGATCAATTTTTATTTGAGGTAGCCTACTCTTAAACACGTTAGCCTATTTCCGGTTTTAGCAAAAATTATGTTGTGTTTATTTTTTTTTAAATAGTTCATCCTGTATAAATTATATTTCTTAACGGGTCAAATTACATACGGCAAGTTGCCAGATTTTAATTTTTCCCAAATCTTTTTTTTTGTATAGGGCTATGAACTGAAAAATAATGTTCTAAATGGTTTATTGTGCATATTGCCAGTTTGATAATAATATTTTCCATCTAAATGCGAAATGGCTGTCATATAGGGTGAGTGCAAAGATTTTAAGGGCGTATTAACCAGCAAAAAATAAGAATTTTTTTTCATATAATAGTATGTCCTAACTTGTTTCGTTTTCTAGATACAGGGTGTCAAAGTTTTTTTAAAAAAATGTCTTTTTTAACAAATAAAATCACACTTTGAGACATCACTGGAATAAATAATATAATAATAATAATACTCTCCCTAATTCACCCCCTTACGAGTGAATTTCAACCCCTGAAGTCGACTGAACGACTTGTGTAAGGGAAGGGACGGCTATTATTATTATTATTATTATTATTTGCCGTGGCGCTCCGGGACGACTTAAAGATGATTGATGGTGCCATTTGACTTACAGGTGAGGAAAACCCGGAAAACCTCACCCACCATCATCTAGACGGTAATGTATGGCGAATTTTTTTAATCTGCATGTCTTATCAACAGAAATTGAATTTCTATTAATACGCCACACATCAAATCCTAAACCGAACCATGCAATTTAATTAAAAATCCACATGGTCTGATCTGGGATTCGAAACCCAGCAGTCTCAGACTCATAAACTTGCCTATAAATGAATATAAGCGCGATAGACCGCTACACCACCGTCCCGATAAATAATATATGAAATTTCATAACACAAATAAAAATTAAGACAGACCTATTTGGCGACAATCTCCATCATTTAGTGATTAGTTTTTTACTTGTTTTAATAGGGCCAGGCACAGATTTTGATTTTTTTCTTGGAAACAAAGCTAGATACGAGTAAAGCTTAGTATTAAAAAAGTTACATTATTGACCGCTTAATCTAAAGAAAAATTATTTGTTAAAAAAGCAGTGCCGTACCATAATTTTACCTATAAGTATCAAGTAGGTAGCACTCTGAGACGCCACTGGAATTAATAAATTTATTTTATACTTACCAAATAAAGGCCCATATGAAGACAAATAAGCCTGCCAAATTTTATTTAAATCGGCTAAAAGGTTTTTGAGTAACTGATAAAAAAACCGAATTTTTTAAAAAAACCTTGTCACCCTGTATCTAGAAAACGAAGCAAGTAAGGACATATGATAATATGAAATTTTTTTATTATTTTTGGCTGTTAAATACGCCCTTAAAATCTTTGCAAACAATTTTGAATCATCCTGTATATTAAAAAATTGGTAAAAAGCACTATTTAGAAACTATTTTTATCTGAAAGATTGATTTCACAGGTTTACAAAAAAAAAAGGTCCGGACTATTTGATCAGACTATTTGACCAGACTATGGCATTCCTAGATATTTTGGCGTCCTGAATCCAATCCCGGGGTCAGTTTTGCCCCATCACGCCAGAAAAATCAGATTTCAAGGTAATTTAGAAGTCAAAATGGTGATTTTTGGAACTGGCTCCAGGACAATTTCTCAAGCGATCTGTTAAGTTGAGGGATAACTGTGTAGGTCTTGAATACCTTTCAAACATTGGAAACGGTCCCTAATCCCGATCAGGACCAGCGCAGGGCCAGCCATGTGGATAAAATGTTGTCATGATCGTTGTATCTCGCGAATTTTGATCTCCCTACCAAGGTGTTCAATTTCGGCGATCCATTTGCTGTGAGATAATGCCAGTGGATCCAGCACTGACCCAAATGGCCCTAGAACCATGCCAGAACATTGGAGTTATACTCAAGTGGATCGAGGTACTCGAGCTCGTGAATTTTGCTTCCCTTGCCAACACGTAGAATTTTGGCGATTGAGTTATCGTCAGTTAATGCTAGAACTTCTCAAAGTGCTCCTAGAACATTGTTCAAAAATTCGGTGAAGCTGAGTATACTAATCAAACTAAGGTTACAGAAAATGGCCCGAGGATCCCAATCTGCAACTTCATAGTTTGTCACCTTTGTTCTGCTGAGGCAGGCCATTGGAATTCAGTCCCTCTGATAAGACGTTACATTCCACCAAGATAATTGGTGTGGCTTTCATACAATATTTGCGACTATGACTTAGAGTCTGCTGATAAACTCAGTTCTGCTACGAGTATTAGTATTACCCAGGAACAACGACGGGGACGTTGCAGATACTGTTCCCTTCGGAGTGCTTGTTTATAGAGAGTCTCCTCGCCTCTCACTTTTTTCCTTCCCAATTTCTCAATCTTTGCGTGCTTGTTTATGGAGTTTGCAGGTTTGATCAATCGACGCTTGGGAGTGGAATAGAAAGTTGAGCCAGTTCTCCATCTTGGGCCAGACCTGAGCGGAACACGAAGCATAACTGCAATGTTCTGGCAAGGTTCTAGGACTATTTGGGTCAGTGCTGGATCCACTAGCATTATCTCATAGCAAATGGATCGCCGAAATTGAACAGCTTGGTAGGGAGATCGAAATTCCCGTGATACAACCATCGTGCTAACATTTTATCTACTGGGATGTCCCTGCGCTGATCCTGGTCGAGATTCATGGCCCCTGTCCAATATTTGGAAGGTATTCACGACTTAACAAATCGCTTGAGAAATTGTCCCGGGGCCGGTTCCGAAAAAGCACCATTTTTGCCTCTAAATGACCTGGAAATATGGATTTTTTGACGTGATGGGGCAAAACTGACCCCGGGATCGGATTCAGGACGCCAAAATACCTAAGAATACCATAGTCCGGTCAGAAAGTCCGGACTTTTTTTTTGTAAACCTGTAAACCCTTTAACTCAATTGGTAAAATAGCTTTTGTTTCGAGTTAGTCGAAGCTATTAGAACATTATTTTGCAGTTCGTGTTTTTTAACTAATTTTTTATAAAGAAATAATTATTTGGGAAAACAGAAAAGTTGACTACACTGTCATATGTAATTTGAACCATCGAAAAAATATCAAATATTCATTCATTTAAAAACTAATATTATATTAATGGCATTTCCGGTCAGCTATTTTTTTTTAAGTATGTGTCAATTTGAAATTATGTTAAGTAGATTTGTTTCAAATTTTATCCAAATTGCTTTATAAATGAAAGATAATAATCTATCCCTGTTTTTTTTTGTCGCCCAGTATAATAATAAAATCTGCTAATTACCTTGTACTCCTTGTTTATTGAAGTTGATTGCTGTAGATATAGGTATTTGGTTTTCTGGTTTGTTGATTGTGTTTCTATTATTTAACGAGTCAAAGAAATTGGGTTTGGATGTTCTATTATCTTGTACAGTAGCCTTATTATTTTTATGTAAAAAGTCCAACAAATTAGGTTTTGGGGTTTTGTTTTCTGGTTCATTGTTCTTGTTCTTATTTTTATTTAAAAAGTCTAAAAAATTGGGCTTAGGTGTTTTATTCTCTTGTTCATTGTCTTTGTTTTTATTTTGATTTAATAAGTCAAGCAAATTAGGCTTTGGAGTTTTGTTTCCTTGGTCATTGTCTTTATTCCCAAATCCGAGCAAATTATTTCCTTGTTGACTCTTGTTACCATTACCAAATATATTATTTCCATTCAATCCATTAAGAAGTTTGTCAGTTCTATTCTTCAGTCCATTGGCAACATTTTCTTTCCAATTGCTAATATCCTTAAACACTTTGTCTGGACTTAAATTCGCCAAATGGCTTTGATTAAATATATTAATCCCAGATTTACTTAGAGCTTTTATTTTGTCTATTTCCTTATATAATGCTTCCGGGGTGAGATTTTTTTGAGACAAAAGACCCTGAACAAAATTCTGCATATTTTTAAAAGACGTGTCTAGAGCTTTCAGAAATTCACATGTAGTACTTTTTAATCTTTCTGCAATGTTACACCAAAGCGCCATCTCGCAGAATTTAAAATTATCCGCTAAAACAGGTTTAGGTCTAATTTGAATAAAATTGTTCTTTTTGCCTGAGAAAGGTTGTACTGCTTTGTTATTTACTTTCGGGGCACCATATCTGGCAAAATCAGCAATCATTTGAGTGAAAATTTCTCGTACTTGAATGTCTTCATCAGTTAGGTTATGCTCATGATCCAGCGAATTACCTTCTATGTCATAGGCATCGAATAGATAAGCCAAGTCGTCTCCATGACCAACAGTATCATTAGTTTCTAAAAAATAAGTTAAAATCTTAATGGTTATCTTATTAAACCTTCAGCAGCTGAAATATAAAAACATAGATACAAGAAATAATTAGAGATGCCGTCTCCTAAAAAATGGTTCTCCGTCTCGACGAGAACGGTTGTCTTGCTTGAGAGTGCCTGTCCTCGTCTTTTCTTAAGTTTTCATGTTATGAGAACAGAAATTAAATTAAATTTAGGAAGAAATTTATGACATTGTCATAAAAATTTTAAATAAAAACATATTATTTATGTTTCACTGATTCTGGATCATTTCATGCCGTAGTCAGTTCTTTATATCTACACTATCAATTCTATTTAAAAAAATGTCTAAGGAAAACTGGAAAAAGTCGCAGGACGAAAATGGATCTTCAATTATAACTGTAGAAGAGTTGAACAGAAATTTGCTAAAATTGAGAACTTGCTTCGTAAACAGTTATAAACAAGTCAAGGAAATAGTTGTGCAGCTTCAGCAAGTGAATTACATGGTACAGATGTACAAAACAACGGAGATGCCCTCTTCGTTCGTCTACCAAGTGCGATTCCTCCTCCCGAAATGTTATATAATATGTGTTATATTTAAGGTTAAAATATGGTTTTAAAAAGCATTTTAAAACCCGTTGATGATAGGCCATCAGATTTTTTCCTGGTAGTCGTTTAAAAAAACAATGGAGAACTTCACATATGTATGGATTTACAATGTTCAATAAATTCATTAAAAGACATCCATTTAGGTTCCGTGGGAAGCAGTTTCAAATATTAATAAGAACAGCAAATATTTTTCCATATTAGAAACCAAAGGTGGATACTGATACTTAGGACTTGACATAGAAAGTCAAATATTGACCACTTTCTTGACACCATGGGAACGCTTCCAGTTTCAACGGGGTCCTGTGGGATTGTTTTTGGAGATGAGTTAAATCACCGAGAAGATAAAGCGTTGCTGAACATAGGAAACATTAAAAAAGTTGATAATGATATCCTTTCATATAATAAAGATGAAGTTTGGAAGTTAGTACACTGTGGGTCAACATTGCTTAGTGATGCTAAATCAAGATATGCTATAGTCTAGAGAAGAAAAGAGTGGATTAATTTAATTTTCAGAACGTAGTACAGGTTCAAGAAGTAGACATTTTATTTATACCTCATCTATCATTGCTTATTTGTAGTTAAAATGAAAATTTTAATAAATCTGATCGACCTAATAAAAGTTTTCGTTTATATTTAATCATGTTTCTATGGTTTTTACTGTAATAATCCTTTTCTTTTGACAGATAAGTCAGACTTAATTTTTTCAGAGCCCTGAACTATGTATTTTAATTGATTCGGAATGTTGTATTAGTATGTATTATAATTTTTACAGATATATAAGCATGGCGAGTGCATTAAAAAATATTTCAAGCACAAGTACGCGTAAACGACCTAGTGGACATAAAGCATTATCTTTTATTATCTTCACCGAATTGAAACAGCGATTGACCACGGCACCCATCCCTTGCTTACCCTCGAGAAAAAAGACAATTCATTTTGGACTGTGACGCATCCCAATAGGGCGTAAGCGCCGTGATATCCCAAGAACAGAAGGGAGAAGAGAAAATAATTGCGTATTTTAGTAAGACCTCGGGGAAAACTGAAAAGAATTATTGCGTCACTGAAAAATAACTTTTAGCTATTATCAAAGCCCTAGAACACTTACCTTTTTAACAGAAGTTTTAACATTAGAAGTGACCATAGCGGCCGGCAGTGGCTGATAAATTTTAAAAAACCTGAAGGACCAGTTGCTAGATGGATAGAAATACTGCAACAAGGTAACTTTGAGAATGTGCATCGAAGGGGCCGTCTTCATAGCAACGCAGACATTCTTGAAGGCGGCCTTGTTAAGAATGACAATGCCGTTACTGTAAAAGACTTGAAGAAGGAGAGGAGATGTTTGAAGGAGTTAGTCTTTAGATGACCACAATCAATATATATATATATATATATAAATATTGGTGGAGGATCAACAAAAAGTCATTAGTAGATAGACAGTGGTGAATATAAATAGTGAACAGTTTAAAGAATATTCGAAATATATATAAATTAAATTAAAAATTATAAAATAAATGTTTAAATAAATTATTAATAAATAAACTGTTGTTTTAAAATAAACAAACATCACAATATCTTGGGATCTTTTTTCTTGTTTTGAAAAGCATTATTTAGTTTATGTGGATAGATTTTCTAGATGGCCAATTATTTGCCATTATAACAATAGGGTGCCAACTAGTTTAAAAATGACAAATCTTTTTTTTTTAATTATATTTGCTGTTACATCCTACATTCGTATCTGAACAGATAATGAAGTTCAATTCAGTTCATGTGAGTTTAAACAATTTTTGAAGAATTGAAAATAATAATTCTTCTTCTACATCTGATTAGGCTCAGAGTAATGGGCACGTAGAAGCTTCAGTAAAGTTGTTGAAAAATTAAATCATATGTACACAAAATGGTAAATTAGAAGAAAACAAATTTTATTGGGGATTGTTAAAGTAGAAAAATACGCCTAAAGAAAACAGCGTTCTCCTGCTCAAATTATTTTTGGCCATTTTTTAAGATATTTAGTACCTTCTTACACCAAATCGTTTTCATAAGAATGGCAAACAGATGCAGATAAATGTGAGAAGAAAGCCTTAGATCAAGCTATAAACTAAAAGAATTATATAAAATAAACATGCCAAAGATCTACCATAATTAAACATAGGTGATACAGTAAAACTTCAGGACCAGATTACCAAACTTTGAAACACTACTGACAAAATGATTAAAGTAGAAAGATGACACTTTTCGATTAAACTAGTCAACTGAAGAGAATTGAAGAGGAATATAATTTTTTTATAAAAATTAAAAAAAGAGATGAAGAAGAAAAAATTTAAAGAAGGAAGATGAGAAATCTGGAATTTAGTATTACCCTGTATTTGTATATTAGTTTAATGGCGAACGTGACGTGTTAAGAGATTGTAATTGTCATAAGAATTTTGAATAAAAAAATTATTATTTCTTTCATTGATTATGGATCATTTCACTAGGTTTTAGGTTTTATCTTAATATTCAATCTATGACTGCCTCATTAAAATGTATATGATTTGTATTTATTTATATTTTGTTTATTATTATTAATACTACAATCTCTCGTTTTCCGCATCATTAGAAAGAATATTTACCTTCAAAATAGTGTGTGTCATTTCCAACTAATGGTGAACCTTTCAGAAATATGTGTCCCTTTTTATTTTTTCCAATGTGTTCAAAACTGTACAAAAACGTTGGAGCACCATTGTTAGCCCATTTATCAACAGTCAGAAAAGCAGGAACATTGAACAAGGCATCATCTAAAAAATAATACACTTTTTAAGTACATATTTAGGGGTGGGCTGGATCATTGGTTACAGTCATGATTTTGAGATCGAAGGACCTTGGGCTTAAATCCCAGGATTTTTATTTAATTTAACGAATTAAATATTAATTATAATGCATATGTAGGATTTCCCACTCGACCATTCACTGTTGGATTCTAATTAACAGAGATGATCCTTCAGTAACGCTGGAAAACAGTAACAAAGCCTCTACAAAATACAAGGCTAATAACCAAAGCAGTTGATGCCTATTATGACGCAAACATAAAAAGTTCATATCTGTCATTTATGAAATTTACGAAATTTGGATAAAATAAGTTATTTTTCGAGTTAAAAATTAGTTACTATTCTTTACCAAATACTTACTGGTTACATCAGCCACTTTATCTAAAGCTTCAAAAATATTGCCTTTCTTTACTTTAACATAGTTGCTAAAATTAGGTGGTACCAGTTTGCTGAGAGTATTTTCAATACTTGCTAAACCTTTGTGAAAATCTTCTTTGATCTTTTTCAAATCTAGTTTAAATTTAAGAGGGATATCTTCCTTTAATTTTTGAACTAGATCGTTTTGCAAAAAGTTAGGTATCTTCTGCAACTTCTCCAAGACGTTTTTCTTTAAGGGACCTAAAAATTGCATTCAGTAATACTAAACTATTTACAAATGTAAATTTTTTTACCTTTTACAGCCCTTTTAGTTTCGTCTTTACATATTCCTGTCATCAGCGGTATTTTTGGATTAACTCCTTTGTCCATGTCATCCATAGCTTCTTCTTGAACAAGACCTGGTAAAGATCTACCATCATTGCGACCTTCTGTAACAGGAGCTGTACCCAAGCGGCCTCCTAGACTACCCATAAATCCATTATTCTGAATTCTCGAAAATTCTACATTTGAATCTCCCTAAAATTGTGAGTTATTTCATTTTCGTAATATTCAAAAAAGTATATTGAATTGAAATGTATCATTACGCTTACCCTTATAATAGACTCTGCAGGTAAAGATTGTAAACATTTTATCATTGTCACGGGATCGGCGGTAGGACAACCATTTTGAGACGCTACGTCTACTGCTGTGTGTTGTGGAGTATTATCAGTAGCCCAGCTGGAAACTGCAGTCCCGGACATTGCTACTATTCCAGAAGTAATACCTTAAAGCCAATATATTAATAATATAGATAATAATAATATATAAATAGTTTTTACCTTTTGCAACATTTGACAAAGAAACCATAAGAGCACTACTAGCACCAGTACCATGACCCATTATAATGATTTTGTATGGATTACCTCCAAAGAATCCAATGTAATTCCTAACCCATTGTACTGCTAGTACCATATCCCACAAAGCAACATTACCTGGAAGATGCTTTGATCCTGAACTTAGAAATCCCAAGGATCCTAAACGGTATTGTATTGTTACGACGACTAATCGTTTACCAACTAAATGGCGTACCTAAAAAAAAGACTATAGAATAAAATTCAAAGAAAACTTGTGTATTTGGATTTTTTGTTTTTTCCATCCTTTATGTCCCCCTTCTGTCATCCATGTCCGTTCTCCTTTTTGCCCGCCTAATGCAGTACCCAGCTATTTATTTCACGTCCTATGGTTAAAATATAGTTCTGCTCTAGTGCCATGGTGACACGGTGGGCAGTGGCGTACTCAGACTTGAACCTTGGGAGGGGAGGATATTGATATCTTCTCTATTATTTATTTTTTATTTTGTTCATTCTCTACTTCACCTATGCTTTCTATCATTTCCAATCTTAATTCTTATCTGTTTTTTTTTTATTCTATTTTCTATTAGTAATTTTGACTCTTCGATTTCTTTCACTGCTACTTCCAGTTTCTGTTTTACCTTCTCCATTTTGCTTTTCATATAGTCTTTTATATTTCTCTCCATTCACTTCATTTTCTTTATAATTTCTTATCTATCTTTTAACCTTTCTTGTTTATCATTTCTCCTATTGTCATTCATTTTTTTTACACTATCAATTTTTAATTACTTACTTACCTTCCAACTTTATTTGTTTAACTATTGTATTGTTAAACAACTTTAACTATTTTGGAATGTTCTTGTAACGGACATAATGTCCAAATGTTTATTAGGTGGTCGTATCTAATAGATGTAAGTGTGCAATATATTCTTGATATTTTGATTGTGTGATAAGATTAGATTTAATTAGGACTTTGGGCCATATGGCCTCCTCTACTTCGATCTTGTCAGATCTAGTGGATATCCTTTTAATCGTTGTTTAGAGTATCTTGTCTAGTTCAGTCTTTTGTAGTAGACTCCATAGACTAGAAAGTAGTTCTCCGGCGTAACTAGCTGCCCTTTGCTTTTCTTTTCCAAGTGTAAGAAATCTCAGTCTTGATAAGCCTTCGCAGTAGCACAATGCGTATTCTACAGATTCCTCCTCTTCCTGACAGACTCGGAATCAAATGTTTTCTGTGAGACAGATATTATACATATGTTTGTTAAGCCTACAGTGCCCTGTTAACAGACCTACAAGTACTCTAGTATTTTTCCTATTAAGGCTTAGTGGATGCTCGGTTAATTTAGGTGATGGTCCTTTTAAGAACTCTTTGGTCTCTCTTTGTCCTGGTGAACTTTTTCACCATTCCTGAGAAAAATCTGATACATATATCATACATCCACTGCTTTGTGGATGTTCTGATAGATGTCTTCGTGATACCACAGAAGGGTTCTGGGTCAATAGGAGTCTTATAAGCTCCTTTTCAGGCTAGTATATCAGCTTCTTCGTTGCCTTTATGGCCCCCGGCGCCTGGTTTTCAGGCTAAGGCTCTCTTTTGACTAGCCAGCTCTGCTCTGTACCGGCACAGAACTAAGTGCTTTTAACGTCGCTTGACTGTCTGAGTATATGACAATGTTTTTTCCATTTACCTTATGTCTTAATACCTCTTTTCTTCAATGATGTATCGCTATTTCTGCCTGGAATACTGTCGCATGTTTACCTAAGCTCAGTGAGATTCTTGTCTTTGGCATGGTACTATATTGTTAGCAATATTACCTACAGTCGCCTCTGGTCAGGGAGATAGGCACATTCGGACAAGACGTGTGGGTCCCGGCTACTCTTCGGGATGATGTTCGTGTTTCACGTTTCACAGTTACAATCACAGTCGAAGACAGTGTTGCCAACCCATTTTGCAAAATATTTTAACACAACCGGAAAAAAACAGGAAACGGGAATTTTTACTCCAGTCCAAATTGTGAAAAATATATGATTGAATGTTTATTAGGATATATATACATTTTATACTTTGTTATGTACATTTGCTTTTCTTTTAATAAATATATTTTTTTTTGAAAATATGTACATTCTTGTACTTCTGGTATAAAACCGATTTTTAAGGTAAGTGGAGGGAAAAATCTTCCTTCAAGTTTGGCGACACTGGTCGGAGAGTAGATTCAACCAAAGCACAATCAACTTGGTTGATCTCTCTGCTCAGAAGTACCGGTTAATCGATACTTATTATGTCATATTTTTCTTGTATTTTCAATGTTTATACGATATTTGTTTCTAACAATATATACGTACTCCTAAATCCTTACGTGTTTTGAAGCCATATGTATAACAGGTGAAATTCATGTGAATAGAAGGTCCTCCCCTCCACGCTTTCTTCTCTGGTATACTTACTTTATATTGCTTTTGGAAGCTATACTTTGGAAAAATTTCGTCTGAAGCTATTCCCATTATTTGGTTGTTCTCCAACTCTTTACATAGCTCGCTGTAGTCACGTCTATGCAAACTGCTCATGGGTGATGGACCTTTGTGCAGTCTGTATGGGACAGGCCTGGCTTAGCCTTGAGTAATTATATATAGTGGTATTAGGTTTAGCATGACTTCTAGGGTTGTTAATATATGATCATGGCTATAATAATGGCTTTATAAAGCTGAAAACGCGCCCTAGTTTTAAATAAAAAATAATAATTTTAACGGTACAGTAAAAACCAATCGTATGATAGAAGTTGGATTAATTAAGTACAATTTCTCTAAAAGGAAAGTACTCATTTTGTCCGTCTGGCATCACCCATGTTCGAAAATTACTCAAAAAAACATGTCTCACAATTAACTCTATGAGCCAGGCCTCCATAACATACGGCCCGCTGGCCGCATGTGGCCTACCTGTGTTTTTTTCGTGGCTCTTTGTCCGTTAACCGTTTGGCCTGCCTATGTCAAACTATACATTTTTCAGTAACAAAATTGCATTTATGCATTAATTGCCTCTTTGGGGAGCTCCATAGAAGGACCTGTTTCATTATAAGCTCTTCACCTTTTTTTTGTAGCTACACTTAAAAATATTGTTGAATAAAAACCGATGTATTTACCCCATACTGAGAAGCTGAGCCATATCTGAAGCCTCCACCATGGATCCAAACCACCACAGGAAGTCCTTAAAAAGATACAGAAAAAGAAATTAAAAAGCTATGTAGTCATAAAGTAAAAAAATAAATTTGAAGATAGTTTTTAAAAGGACTGTTATAGTTATAATTTATTATAAATGGTGTTATCCAATTTACTCTGGATTGTACTATACGTTCCTCTCTGTTACCGGTTTTGATAAATTACCTGTTTAAATAGAGCTGAACACATTGTATATTAAAAAATAATAAAACCTACCTTCCGTTCCTGTGGGTAATTCAGGGGTGAATACGTTAAGTGCTAGACAATCTTCACTACCAATAACGTGATTTGTGCCAGGACGTGGTTGTATACAGGGAGGAGAATAAGTAGTAGCATTTACTATTCCTTGGAGCAACTTTTCTCGTGGCCTCTAAAAATCATTAAAAGATATTAAAAAATAATACTGTTTTCCAGAACTAACAATAAAAATAGTAGTTTTAGTCCAGGATCCGTAAGTAAGGTCGACCTTCACCCATCTGTTTAATGGTAAAAGTTATTTTTTATTAAATAAAATATGTTTTTAAATATACCGCAAATGGGTTGCCTAAGAAAATACGGTCACGGCCATTTTTTACTTTCCTCTCTGTGTACAGATAAGGAAAGTATAGGAATCATGATAAAAGTTGTTTATGGTGTCATTCTCTATTATTTTGTCTCTATACATGATTTTAATAAAATGGACCTAATTTGATATATTTGATGAAATGTGCAAATTTTGAATTTTGAAGATAACTCAAAAACGGATGAAGAGAAAAACACCAAATTTTGAACATAAGCTTTAATCTATCCTGCGATGAGCTGATTAAAGTTTGGGCATAGTCAAAGCATTTGGGGAATACTTTACAGGGTGTAATTTTTTTTACTTTAGGAAAATAAATAGTCTGGACCGAATTTTCTTAGGCAACCCATTTGCGGTATATTTAAAAACATATTTTATTTAATAAAAAGAAAGTTTTATCCATTAAACAGATGGGTAAAGGTCGACCTTATTTCGGATCTTAGACTATTTGTGCCATAAGAATGGATATGATAGCCATATCGCACGAAGGCGAACTTCAAGCGCAATCGTCTGAATTTGATACGGAAATCCACTCGTGTTGTGCAATATATTTTTAGAGCAAAATAAAACAAATGACAAACATTTCTCTAGGGTTATAAAATTTAATAATGATGGACAAAAAAATATTTCTAAAGTAGGCCATGACCGACAAAGACAGATATACGAGTCATGTCTGTGATGACTACGCACTGCTATAGATTATATACAAACTGACATTTAAAAAGAAGGAGAATTGAACGCTCCGACATGCGTTAATTTTTCCATGGACTAATTTAGAAACTTAATTTTATTTTAAATTAGCTATAATATAATATTTCTTTTTATTAAATGATTTTTAAGTTTTTTTGTACATAGTTACATATTTTTTGTTATATTATCTAAGTTAACATGGACTTTGATTGTTAACTGTTTTTTTTATGATTAACGTAGGTACATGGAATACATTATACACTACTTAGAGTTTATATATCTATTTCGCAAAAAATTATGATCGTAGAAAAAATCTTGTGTGCATTTTGAGTGAAATCCTCGTTGCCGCTTTGGACAGATTGCCGCCCTACTATAGGCGTCGCGCGGGCAACTTTCGGCCTCAAGCGACACAAAATCCCTCTTTGTTTTTAATATACAAGTATATTATTGTATCTTGTACCTAAGTACATAATATATACTAAGTAGGTAAACTATTCCATTAATATCATTAAACATAAGAGACTATCAAATGAGTAAAAAATAATTTATGACTGCTTACCAGAAATCTATCTTTTCCAACAGGAGAAAAAGCATATTTAATTCCTCTAAAGACATAATGGGGAAATTCGTGTACTCCATGAACTCTGGCAGCCTTTCCGGCAAAATTTGTAAAAATTGTGGGATCATCTGAAGTTGGTTCTAATGCCGGAACTCCACCAACTATTCTCTTCACTCTTGGGCCTCTCTCATCTCCATATGATGATGTAAATAAGAAAAAAATAAAAGCAAGTCTGAAGATCATTGCTAGAAAATATAGAGATAAAAATAAAAAAAAAAAACAATAGCAAAACAATTATATAAAATGAGCTAATTCACGAAACGTATTGTCAAATTTATTTGATCATACATAGTGACGAGTAGTCGATTATTAAAATAAATAATCGATTATCGATTATTTTTGATTAATCGATTATTTTAGATTATTCAAATAATCTAATTTTAGAATAATCGATTAGTTTTGCACTATATATTACTAGAGTACAGCAAGTTAGTCAATAGTTGTTTGAGGACAGTATGATATTAATTAATTAATAAATTGTGATTGGATGTTTCGTTTATAAATTGCTCGTCAAAAAAAAATTAAATAAATAATAGTAATTTTCAAAAAAAATTGTTTTCCATAACACATTTTTTATAAGATTGAAAAAAAATCTGTTATTTTATTATATTTCCTTTAAAATCGATTATTTGACTAATAGGTCATTAGCTTATTTTAATTAATAGATTATTCAAAATCGAATATAATAATTATCTTTAAAAAACTGGCAATAATAAAAATAATCAAATTATTCTAAAATAAAAAATAATCGAAAGTAATCAAAAATTTTTGAAAATAATCGAAAATAATCGAAAGTAATCGAAAATAATCGAAAATAATCGAAAATAATCGAAAATAATCGAAAATAATCGAAAATAATCGAAAATAATCGAAAATAATCGAAAATAATCGAAAATAATCGAAAATAATCGACAATAATCGAAAATAATCGAAAATAATCGAAAATAATCGAAAATAATCGAAAATAATCGAAAATAATCGAAAATAATCGAAAATAATCGAAAATAATCGAAAATAATCGAAAATAATCGAAAATAATCGAAAATAATCGAAAATAATCGAAAATAATCGAAAATAACCGAAAATAATCGAAAATAATCAAAAATAATCAAAAATAATCAAAAATAATCAAAAATAATCAAAAATAATCAAAAATAATCAAAAATAATCAAAAATAATCAAAAATAATCAAAAATAATCAAAAATAATCAAAAATAATCAAAAATAATCAAAAATAATCGAAAATAATCGGAAATAATCAAAAATAATCGAAAATAATTGAAAATAATCTAAAATATTCAAAAATAATCGAAAATAATCGAAAATAATCTATTAATTAAAAAAATACGATTAAACGAATGCACGATTAAACGATAAGTGGATTATCGATTTTTCTAAAAAAAAAAATAGTCGAATACTCGATTAATAATTGATTTACCAATTATTTTGCCTTCCTCTATACATATTTCCGATATTAAAAGTTATATTCAATAGAAACATCAGAAATTAATTAAATATGATAGTTCAACAATTTAAAGGTACAACAAAAGCAATGGCAAAAGATCTAGATCTTTAAAGCATTAATATACCCAACTAAGACGATTATCGGCTTTTATTGGCCTATGAATATCGATTATTAATCAACTAAAAGTTTAGGAAATTATTACATTTTGAGTGATATAATCAAGAGAGGTGAACATTTTGTTGTTTCTTTGGAAATTACAGGTCTAAATTTGCATAATTTAGTAAGAAAACAACAACGTGTAATAAAAAATTCTCAGCACCCGTGGTATTTGGAAAGATTATTTAACAATATATTGATTGAGTGTAAATACAGCACTGTGTAGTGTTGGATACAGTTTGTTTTATTGGCGTGTGTGGGAAAAGTGAGGATTGTCATTGTGAGGTGGCCATTTGAAAACGAAACAGAGCCAATTTTGGGCAATTTGTTATCAGATGACATTCTTTGGTCGCCGTAAAGTAGTAAAGTTTAGTTTATTTCGTTGTAAAATCGGCATAAAAGTGGCATTTTTGGTAACTGTATAATTGGTCCCTTTTTTTACCTGGAACTTTAACCGCAGAAATGTATCTGAAATTATTAGAAAACACCATTTATCCAGCATTGATTGAGAATGACGACCAGTACATAGCGAACAACTTAATATTCCACCCCATTTTGCATTAACTGTTCGTCAATATTTGGATCATACGTTTCCACGTCAATAGATCGGAAGAAGAGGAAGTATTGAGTGGCCCCCACGGTCTCCGGATCTAACATCATTAGATTTTTTAAGGAGCCACTTAAAAACTAAAATTTTGTCACCCAGCCAAACATCACTGGAAAATCTGCGACAACGGATAATTGATGAATGTCATTAAATCATCCCACAGATGCTTTAAAATGTCTGAGAGCGTTTTGAACAAAACCTCTATTATTGCATTTCCAGTATTTACTAGAGTGACTGGCAAGCATTTAAAGAAAATAAAAATTGTTAAAAGATCATGGCTAAAAAGACAATGGCAATTTAAAACTCAAAGGTTATAATCTAGCTAAAAATACCTTTAAAATAAGATATCATTCGACCCCTCTTTCCAATTAAGATTTTAGGGGCGAGTCTCACCCCCGCTAGAGAGTTTCCGTTCAGGGGGTTAAACTGGCAAAAAATTGTTTTCCTTTAAAATAAAAAACTGGCGATTCGAGCGTTTTTTCTTAAATGATCTGTTGTGCCCAAAATTGGCTCTGTTTCGTTTTCAAATGGCCACCCTGTATAATCCAAATGTAAGAATTCCGAGCACTTCAATTTATTTCTAGAGGACACAGTAATGATTACATTCAATTTTTTTTAAGATTAAATAATTGCGAAGGTTTTTGATAAAAATAAAAACTATTCAACCAGAAAAATCTAAATGTTAAATAAATTTTTTGTAATGTCCTGACAAATTAGTATATTAAAAATTTATAATTTTTCAGATAATTAAGTTTCTTACTTTAATCGAGAAATATAATAATCCCAACAGTTCCCAAGGATATCTGATATAACATATTCCTACACATTTAATAAGAGATTTTTGTATAGGATGATTCCAAGATTGTACCTGTTATTTTCATACAAATAAACAGGGAGGGCCACCGTTAACGCCTTGGTATGTAGAGCCAAAACTATTTGATTTTTTTTTAAATCTGTTTTCACAGCAAGATGTGTAACAGAAAATACAATTTAAAAATAATTTCATTCATACAGGATTCTCCAGAAAAGTGCAACATTTCAAAGTAAGGTTTTTTTAAATGGAACACCCTGTATTTTATTTTATTTTATATTTTAATTGCCATTGCTTTTCCCATAATAACAATATCAAATAGTATGGGATTATATTGCAAAAGAAACGATTTAAATCCATTTCGCTGTAACAGATTTAAAAAATAATCAAATAGTTTTGGCTCTATAGACGAAGGCGTTATCGGTGGCCCACCTTGTATATTATCGAAAATATGTCAATTTAACCAACTTGCTTCCATTATTATCCATAAAAAATGGATAATAAAAAACTCAATAGGGTGTTAAAGTAAAAATTTTAGAAGTGATTGTTTTCTTTTACTTTAAAGCGGGTTAAAATATTTTTTTTTAAAAATGTACATGGGATGTAAGTATAAAATGGCCAATAAAATGGAGTGGTGGAGTTTAAATTGTTTTAATTCTATAGGTTTTTAGAAGGGCTCCGCACCCTTTTGACCTTTCTACATATTTTTATGAAAATGTATATGAGATGTAAGTATACAATGACAAATTAAATGGAGTAGTATCGTTTAAAATTGTTTTTCTACTACCACGCGTAAAGTACATACTTTACGCACTCCACGGAGTGAGTACTTTTTTCACTAGTGCCTAAAGTGAAAGAAAAGTTATTTTACTGAAAAAAGTAACTTTTATATTTCTAATATTAGTGGATAATGTATACGGTAGTAGAAAAAAGATTATATACAACGCTTGTGCAAAGTCCCTTTTTTTACTCATGTGGTCACATTGGTAAAAAAAAGTAACTTTACACACTTGTTGTATAAATAACTATTTAATTTTATAAGTTATTGGAAGGATTCCGCACACCTTTGACCTCCCTGCTTCTTTAGACAATGAAAATCAGTTAAAAACACTAAAATATTAATTTGATTTCAATTTTTTTGGTTTTTTAGTATTTGTTTGTGAAAGCCTTAATAACTGAGTTACAGAGGCATAGTGAGAAATATAATTAAATGTTTCTATTGATTGATAAATATTTGATCGCTATTTTTTTTACTATTTTACAGCTTCATATGTGCTCTATATTACAAGGTAATCTCTGTAAATGAAGTTAAAAAAATAGTAAAAAAAACGTGAACAACAAAAAATTTCATTGTGAATGTTTTTTATTACTTTCCTTCTGGCAAAAAAATTAATAGCAGATGTAGGATTTTATTGGGGTCCTTTTTTTCACTGAGTGTATTGTTAAAAAATAGTGGGGTGAAAGGGGTGCTGAATCCTTCTAAAAACTTATATAATTAAAACATTTTTAAACAACACTGAATCCATTTTATTGGTCCCTGTACATTTTCATAAAAATATGTCAAGCCTTTTAGGTTTCTACTTTCCATTTCTTATGTAAGCAAATTGGTTTAAATCGACTTATTTTCGACCCCCGCAACTTTGGTTAAATTTACTGTTCATCTTTTTGTATAAAATCTTAGATCTTCTAAATATTGTATTTAATATTTTGTTCACATTAAAAATTATACATTTATCATCAAATTTGTATTAAATAGGTCGTAATTACAGTTATAGTAGTTATTCTAGTATATTATTTTAAAAATAAGTTACTTAATTAATAAATAATAATAGTGAACTTACTTTAGGAATACATTATTTCTAAATAGAATAAATCACTTACCTTCTGCAAACTGTAGCAAAAACTGCAATCAACCAGTTAAAAAATAATAAAAATAACATGAACAGGAAGGAATCATTTATTAATATTATCAATATCTACCCACATATTTTCAACTGGAGATGAGATAAAAAAAAGCATCCCAAAAAATGATAAATTATATTAGAAATAAAACAAATACCTATTTGAAAATTATACTCATGTTTTTCAAATACGAGTAGGGATCAAAAAACATCGAAATGACATTTTTTTCCCTATGAAGTTTACCGCTAAATCGACGAACATAGTTTTTTTAGAACAATTGTTATCTAACAATTATTTTCAAACATTGTTAGCTAACACTGTGTTAGCTAAAAATATTTGCGGCAGTGTAGATCCGGCTTTAGACTCTGAAATATTATTGAAATTAAATACCTCGCAAAAATGTTAGGTAACAATATTTGCGACAGTAATTTAAACTAAAAAGCCCAACAGTCTACAGTTAACATGTATACAGGGTGGGCCACTTAAAAGTTCCACTCCCTCATATTTTCGTTATTCATTGAGAAATCGGAATAATTTTTTTCGTTTGAAAGATTGGAACAAATACTTTCTTATAACGGATACAATTATTCTGTAACGTCATGGCTTACTTCCGGTTTTTCTGGAAATAACCGTAATTTATTTTATTTTATTTATTTTTTAATTGTAGATTTGAATTTCTGGGACATTTTTGTATAATAATCGTGTATTTAAAATTTTCTGGCAGCTGTCAAAATGGCCGGCATATTGGATAATATTTTTTTAAACAAGTACCATTAATACGTTTATGGAAAAAATATAGGGATGTATCTTGAATCTTTAAATTCCCATTGAGACCCATTTACCGTACACCAGTGGCGTATCTAAGCATTTTCATTAATAATTCCACCCGCTTTTCTCTTGGTTGTTAATTGAGATATTGGAACGAAAACTTTTTGTTTAAAATCTTAAAACACAATCACAATTTTTTTTTATTTTTAAATAGAAACCCCATTTTTTATTGAAAATTTGAGTTTCAGGGACTTTTATGGATCAGAACCGTGTATTAAACATTTTCTCTCAGCTGTCAAAATGACCGTCATTTTAGAGAATATATTTTTTTTAATATGTTAGTTTATGGACAAAAATATGTGAATTTTAAAAATCTTTATAAGCTTCTTAGATCCCATTGACACCTATTTATAGTATACCGGTGGCGTATCTAAGATTTTTGTTATTTCTTAAGCGTATCTGTCATCGAATTAAATAACAAAAAATAGTTATTTGCACATATAATAATAAGTGTATAAAGTGGCCTTCAAAAAAGGCCTTTACATATGAATTGCATACAATATTTCTACTACCGTACTAAGATTAGAAATACAGAGGTTACGTTACTCATTAGTGCGTAAACTGTTTTATTTTACGCACTAGCGCGTAAAGAAAATTTGAAATAAAATGTGTCATTTGTCATGTCAAAATATTAAAAATTGTCTTGTTTACGCACTAGTGCGTAAAAAATTTTACTTTACGCATTAGTGAAAAAAGTGAAAATTTATGCACTTCGTGGTGTGCGTAACGTGCGTTCTTTATGCACAGTAGTAGAAAAATAAATTATTACGACACGCAACAGATCTTTAAATTTAAAAAAATGTTTATTTTTATTTTAAATTTTACAGTAGCTTAATTTTATCAAAAAGCTTTAAAGAATTAATATAGTAAAACAAGACCTACCATACAATAATAAATTAACATTGATACGCTCAAAAAATTAAAATTTTCAATAAAAAAGTGGGCTTCCATTTAAAAATAAAAAATAAATTGCGATTTACTGTTATTTTCGAAAAACCGGAAGAAAGTCATGACGTAACAGACTAGCTGCATGGAGTATTTGACAGTATTTATTCCAAGCTTTCAAACAAAAAAGTTTTCATTCTGATATCTCAATTAATAAGGAAGATAAGAGCGGGTGGAATTATTAAACGGTTTGCTAATAATAAAAATGCTTAGATACGCCACTGGTGTACTGTAAGTGAGTCTCAATAGGAATTTTGAAGCTTACAATGATTTTATAAAGATCATACATTCTCATATTTTTTTAATAGTAACATGTTTAGAACAAATATTATCAAATATGGCGGCCATTTTGACAGCTGACAGAAAATTTTTAATAGACGCTTCTTATCCAAAAATATCCCAGAAATTCAAATTTCCAATAAAAGAGGGGTTTTGATTTTAAATTAAAAAATAAATTGCGATTTTCAGTTATATCCCAAAAAATCGGAAGTAAGCCATAACGTCACAGACTAATTGGATCCAGTATATGAAAGTATCTATTATAAGCTTTTAAACAAAAAAGTTTTTATTCCGATATCTTAATTAACAAGAGAAATAAAAGAGGATGGAATTATTAAACGGTTTGCTAATAATAAAAATGTTAAGATACGCCACTGGTATACGGTAAATGGGTCTCAATGGGAATTTTGAAGCCCTATAATTTTATAAAATTCATACATTCCTAATTTTTTTTCCATAAACGAATTAATAGTAACATGTATAAAATAAATATTATCCAATATGGCGGCCATTTTGATAGCTGCCAGAAAAATTTCAATGCACGATTATTATACAAAAATGTCCCAGAAATTCAAATTTACAATAAAAAAAGTGTGTTTCAATTTAAAAATAATAAATAAATTGCGATTTTCTGTTACTTCCGGAAAAACCGGAAGTAAGCCGTAACGTCACAGAATAATTGAATTCATCATAAGAAAGTATTTGTTCCAACCTTTCAAACAAAAAAAAATATTCCGAAATCGCAATGAATAACGAGAATAAGGGGGGGTGGAACTTTTAAGTGTACCAGAACGTTAGAGGTCGTAATACCAAGGTTGATGAATTTTACTCGTATGTAAGTGATAGTGAGTGTGACATTATAGCTATAAGTAAGATCCTTCTCGAACTTGAAGAGTTTCGACCATTGGCTAAAACTGACCATGGACTAGTAAAACCAGTGGTAATCATGACGGTTGACGGAAGGCCAGATGAAAATCCGCGTTATCAAAAAGTCATAGGGTTTGCTATACAACACTTTAAGCGACATGATCTCGAAGCATTGTTTTTAGCTACCAATGCTCCTGGAAGAAGTGAGTATAACAGAGTAGAGCGCAGAATGGCTCCTCTTGGTCGGGAACTGGCTGGTTTAATATTGCCTCATGATCATTTTGGGTCTCATTTCGATGAACGTGGCGTTACAATTGATGGACATTTAGAAAGATATAATTTCGAATTTGCAGGAAATGCAAAATATGTTGGAACAGGTGAACAAGATCTTCCTGATTTTCCAGACATTAAATGGTATTCAGAACATGTGCGTGAAAGCCAATATTTGCTTCAAATTGTAAAATGTAGAAATACAGAATGCTGTCGTCTAAGAAGTGGCCTATTCAGATTATTAAACAACAAGTTTCTTCCACCACCTGTAAAAGTAAAACAAACAGTTGATTACTTGATTTTGGATAAAGGAGGGCAATTGCTTGATCTTCCAGTCAATTTAGCTCTACGCTTAAGTGCTTCACTCAAAGATTTTTTGCAAATGCCTTACGATTATTTTTGTCCGACGGTAAAATTGAGGATATCAAGACGAACATGCAAAACGTGTGGTCTTTATCACGCTTCCGTCAAGTCACTAAATCGTCACATCGAGAAGATCCATAAAAAAAGTAAACACGCACACTAATAGGAAAGTTAGACCTGTAAGAGACGTTGCTCGTCGTGCTAATGAACTGATGTGCATTATTCAAAATTTAGAGCACCATGATGTTGAATGGCTTGATGAGAAGGACGTAGACATTCCAAAATCGGATGAAAGTGAGCAGACTGACAACACTGAGCAGCAATCCAAGCAATCTAATGTCATCCAAAACTTAGAATCATGGATTCGGGTTTTATGGACTGAAGACTATTAATTTGAATTTAATATGTATACCAAAAATTTAAAATAAGTTTGTTATGTTCGTAAGATTATAATATTTTTGTCCCTTACTCTATTTTGAATACTGTATCAGTAAAATCTAATCTCTATCCTATATCTATTTTCTTATTTTTATACATTTATAATTGAAAAAATGTTAACGTAAGCATGGGGGAGGGGGTAAGAGCTTTGCTTACTTTTGCTGACAAGGAGGATGGGGGGTAAATAATTGTAATAAATCTGCTTACGTAATATTTGAACGGCCCCAAACGAACAAGCATAAAATGATGATATTGGACCAGAAACAGATGAATAGGAGACCCAAGTGGACAGTTTATGTTTTTTTGTTAAAGTTTTTAATTTGGCAGAGTGGCCCAAGTAACTTTTTTTTCTAAAAGTAACAATTGATTTGATATGTTTTTCTTATCTTTAGACTTATAAAATGTACACAGGTCTGACCATATGTTAACTTATAAATAAAATGGAACTAGTTTTAATTTATGCTCAATTTTTTATTAGCCTTTATCTCAAAACTGTAATTTTGCACTTAGACCACTATGTTTCTGAGCGACTCATATATCGCTTATCAATAAATTTTTTAATGCTAAAATCACAGCTATTTTTGGGACTATTCACGTCATGTTTTAAAATTTAATATTCATTCCCTTACATATTTCATGAATCTAATTTAGAAACAAAAACCAATAATTATGCAAATAAATATAATATAGATAAAAACGAAAATAACTCCTTTTCTCTTTATACGTTCATTTCAGCTTGATTGGTTTTGTGTTTTCATATCAATGATAATATGTGGAGCTTATTAACTGAAGTAAATATGTATTTACAGCCATATTTCTAATTTAAGATCGCTCCGATTTCACCGTACCTATCAAAATAATGTCATACATTTAGTTCTTTGTTAGTAAAATATTAATGAAATTTGCCTATCGATTGTTCTTGGTTTTAAAAAAGTTAGTTATCAAATTTGATAGAGAATTATGTATTTGGGTCGATCGTTTTTTCGGTTGACCTTTGACATAGAGAAATTACTAGATTACTTAGTTAGATTAGGTTTAATTGCAGAGAGAAATTAATA